GAATGTCAATGCTCAATTAGCTGTGACGTTCAGTTTTCGATCTTTGGCAGAATACTACAGGAGATAGTCCGGACGAAGAATATGATGATTTCTAAAATCTTTTGGTTAAAATTATGCGATCTGAGGTCGACATGGATCTGGCAGCAGAGTTGTAAGTAACATTTCCATGATGACATCTCTGAGTGTGATCTTGTGTATGGAATTTTTAATCCCTCTCTGTTCCATGCTTGACAGAGTTCTTTCTCTAAAATTATAGAATACAAAAGCTACCTGATGTCTAAAGTTGCCTGTATTTAAATAGAGAAATTTTTTGTTATGACTAAGATAAGAAAATCGATATAAATAGAAATGTCCATGTCATGGTAATGTGATCTGTCAAATAATTTTACATTTTTTTTCTTCCCCCTCAGTTTCCTCCTGCTGCCCTGCCCCTGCACTCTCTGTCATGAGGAGAAACTGTTACAATGCTCATAGTGTGTGGACTCTGTTTGGATCATGAGTTGAAGGAACTACATTTTTTTTTTTTTTTCTTTGCAGATGGAGTCTCACTCTGTCACCCAGCGCCTGCAGTGCAACGGCATGATCTCCGCTCACTGCAAGCTCTGCCTCCCAGGTTCAAGCGAGTCTCCTGCCTCAGCCTCCCAAGTAGCTGGGATTACAGGCGTGTGCTGCCACACCCAGCTAATTTTTGAATTTTTAGTAGAGACGATGTTTCACCATGTTGGCCAGGCTGGTCAGCCTCCTGAAGTGCTGAGATTATAGGTGTGAGCCACTGCACTTGGCCTTGAAGGAACTACTTGTTAAGTCTCTACTTTTAGTAGGTCTGAGGAAAGTGTTAACTTCTTATGGAAGTGGCCACAGATCTTGTCTGTTTAGGAGACGCCACTTTCACTATTCAGGAGCCGTTCACACATGTTAAAAAAAATTGTGTGATGAGGAGAGAGGAGGAAGAGTGGCTTTTATGCCACCAGACCCCCACTCTTTTTATTATCACAGGTGCAAAATGTCCCCATCTCCTGCCCAATGAGAGACACCACTAGATCTGGTGGTCTGATGAGATCTCCTCTGATGCTCAGCTTGTGTGCTCATCAGCACCTGCCAGGGAACTCCACAGCTGTACAGATGAGTTCCAGGCCCACTTCCCCAGAGCAGGCTGGCTCCCTGTGGTCTCTCTCTCCTCACAGCAGGCTTCCAGGGCCTTTTCTCTTGGTAATTGTCAGTTCCTGAAGATAAGCACGTAGGCCCTTTTTACTTTTAGACTTTACTGTTAAACAAAAAATAGCAGCATTAGGAAATCACAAGTCTCAGACCCACTTCCCATTCTGGAAGCCCCTCAGGATGTAGTTTTTAATTCCTTGTGTTGGGCTTTCTTTTCTTACTGACTTCTTCCCCCTTCTCCCATTAAAGGAAAAATTCGCTCTCAAGGAAACCTCATTCCCAGCACGTAGGCCTGAAGATGCAGGGTATGGCGAATGGTCCATACTTTTTTGTTTCAGCCTGGGCGCTCACATCTGTGGGGGATGTCTTCAGGTTATTAGCTCTGAGACATTTGGGGGGCATTTCCTCAAAGCTTTCATTTTCTTTAGCAATCCAAATAACATTATCTCATCCAGTGTGAAGTGTTCATTGAGCCTTCCTTCCCCTAAATTCAGCATAAGTCATAACCATTCTAGACTGTGACAGTGTATAATTTGCCCAAATGTGAATTCACTATTAGTTTGATTGGTAAAAATTGCTTGATTAGTAAAGAATGATGGTAAATTGGCCGGCTCCTGAGATTCTCTGGCAAAGTCCATGCTGGCTTGAGTTCTCTGTAAGTTGACTTTAGATGACATCTTTCATGTTTGGAAAACTATTCCGGACATGAAATAAGAAACTGTGAGTCACACAATCAACATAATACTAGGCTTGGGCCATGGCTGCTTTTAGAGTATTGTGTTTTAGTGCTCATTTAATTACCTGTTTGCTATAAAAGTTGGCAGTCCTGACTTTCCTCTTCAATGTAAACAAAATAATATTGTCTAATTCCTTTGCTACTTATTGCCATCATAGCAGAAACTCTTAAATTTTATTTTAAAAACAGAGTTAGATTTTCCTCGTAATAGATCTAAAAGAGGTGAAATTGAATGTTCCTTTTGCAAGCAAACAAGCTTCTGTCACTACTAGTAAGAAAAATATTATAACTAAAGAAGAATCTAAAGAGAGGTCTTTTAATCAGTCATGACACTTGGGTGCGTTGACAGCCTAGAGTCTAGATGTCAGCTTTGGCAGTCTGGAAATTTGGTATCTTCAGGTTACTGACTGCTGAGTGAACTCAAGGGTATTGACTGCTATTAACTGGTCAGTATATTCTCTGGACTGCAGCAGAGTCTATATGGGAAATGACAATCCAAAGTTTGCTTGGTGAGCATGATGTCACAGCCAAAGGGAGTTGGATGGTCTGAGTGGCATGTGTCACAGCCCTAGGGGCAGAATGTCCTCCTCTCCACTCCAGAGACAGTGTTGTAGAGCAGAGCTGATTGCTTGTCCTCTTGGCTTGCCTAGTGATGGAAACTGAGCATGAATAGCCTCTCTTGTTAAAATAGAACACAAAACCCTCTAAGGTTTGAGCATGTGAGAGGTCTGGAAGACGCGACTGTGCATGCAGTTACCAACTTGTCCTCCTGGATTTTCCCTCTCCTGCCAGTTCCTTCTCTTTGCCTTTGGGTATTCATCACCATCTTCAGCCCCAGGATATATTGTACCCTCTAAAAAACTGGTCAAAGGGAAGCATCAGACCTCTTGCTATGGTTCTCAGTACAGCTGAGATAGGCTGCAACAACCAATGAGTGTCTTATTAAAATTAATAGAAAGCTGAAGGATACAAACATGTACCAAAACTGTAAAAAGTTGATGGTTGATGGAGAATAAATTTCTGTACCGGAGCTCGCAGCAAAAGGTTGGGAAATCTAAGCCCAGCAATTAGTTATGACCAGGTTAAACAATGACTTCATTTTCTAAAGTGATGCCTTTTCAAAGAGTACTGCCCTTTTGAAAGCATCTTTACCTCTGCCAGGCAGCTACAACTGAATAGCTTGCATGTCCTTTATTAGCCTGCTTTACTTTTGCAGATGGCTCATCTCATTTTTAATAGATTCTTACACAGCTCATTCTTAGGGTTGCACCATTTCTCACATTGTCCTCAAATTCTGAGAAGAGTCATAAGAATGCCTTCTTTTTCTGGCTTGTTTAGGCTATCTTTATGAAGGCATTTAAAGATATTCAATATTGTTTACAATCAATAGCAGCATTTTTTTTTCTTTTGATACAGGGTCTTGCTCTTTCACCCAGGCTGGAGTGCAGTGGCCCATCATAGCTAACTGTAACCTTGAATTCCTGGGTTCAAGCGATCCTCCTGCCTCAGCCTCTCGAGTAGCTAGGACTATAGGCACACACTACCACACCTGGCTAAATTATTTTATTTTTGCAGAAACAGGGTCTTGCTATTTTGCCCGGACTTGTCTTGAACTACTGGCTTCAAGTGATTGTCCCACCTTGGCCTCCCAAATTACTGGGATTACAGACCTGACCTGACCCAGCAATTGTTTTTTGTTTTTGTTTTTATTTCTGAGGCAGGGTCTCACTGTTACCCAGGCTGGAGTGCAGTGGTGTGATAATGGCTCATTGCAGCCTTGACTTCCCTGGCCTCAGGTGATCCTCCCACCTCAGCCCCCTGAGTAGCTGAGACTACAGGTGTGTGCCATCATGCCCAGCTAATTTTTGTAGCTTTTTTTTTTGTAGAGATGGGGTTTCACCATGTTGTCCAGGCTCAGCCACTGTTTTTCAAGTTCAAATGGTTTCATTTTCGGCCAATAGGAAGGAGCCTATTTATGTGAGTCTTGTGTCCTTTTGACTTGACCCCATTAATTGTGAAACATTTCCTGTCTTTTTGAGGTCATCAAAATGTTTCGGGGTCATCTTGTACTTTTTCTGACCCAAACCTGGAATCAGTCACTCCTCAAAGGAGCCTTAGTTCCTTTGAGTGGGAAATGGTTTTTAGAGACCATAACCTGGGTGCTGGGAGTGTTCATTGCTGCTGAGTTGTCCTTACTTCTAAACCTAGTCAATGGCTGTATATATATTTTTTTGAAAAGAAAAAAAAATGAGTTCATACTAGTGTTTCCCATGTAAATATATTATTGTAATATTTTAAAGAAAACTTAATTACTTTGGTTGTACACTTATATTTTCTGTTACACTGAAAACATCTTGGCTTCATTTGATATTAGCATAATTATTTATTTGCTTTATCCTGTAGTTGATTTAAGAATTTAAGAAATATGAATATTATTAAGAATACTACTGAATGAAATGTAAAATTTCTTTGCAGTTTTATTTGCTCTGGGAATATGTACCACTGTTGATGTACAGTCATAGTAGTGTATTCTATGTCAACTTAAGAGAGAGAATTATTTTTTTCTGTGTTCTTATGCTATCAGTGGGATAGTCCATTAGATTGATTTGTTTCCATTAATTTTCAATTGTTAGAGTTTTCTTTTACAATTTAAAAATACTTTATTCATTTATAGTCAGGGACTAGGTCTGTTGCTCAGGCTAGAATGCAGGGGTGCAATCATAGCTCACTGCAGCTTTGAACTCCTGGTTTCAAGCCATCCTCCTGCCTTGATCTCCCAAAGTGCTAGGATTACAGGTGTGAGCCACTGTAACTGGACTATTTTATGTATTTTCAAAATTTATTTTTATTTTTATGTTTTTTTAAGAGATGAGGGTCTCACTGTGTTGCCCAAGCTGGCCTTAAACTCTTGGGCCTAAGCAATTTTCCCACCTCAGCCTGCCAAGTAGCTGGGACTATAGGCATGCTGCTCCATCATCCTGGGTTTTTTAAAAAAAATTTAATTTGTTAATATTATGTTATTCCAGAGCCAAAACTGCAGAAGGCACATCAAGAGAGGACTCAGTTTTCCGTTCTTGTCTCCTCCACGATGTTCCTTCTCCCATACAAGTTTCTAATTTGTTTTTTGGTTTATCCATCTAATGTTTCTTTTTATAAATATTAGCAAACACAAATACTTTTATATCTCCCCCCCACACCCTTTCTTTCATCCATTTTAATGGTAAATATTCCATTGGTGAATATTACTGTTTGAGAATGACTTTTTTTTTAAATTTTTTTTAAACCATAATGATGGGCAGTAGTTCAGAACTACTGAAGTCTGGCTGGAGAGATGAGGAACTATTACTTTTTAATACTGCTTGAAATGGGAACACTTTTTTCTGGAAGCCCATTTTTCTAAAAGAAACAATCATGTTTTTTCTTCATTTTCTCCGCGCCTCTAATCTGCCAGGAAATAATTCAATGCATTTCGGGCTGAAGCATGTGCCTCGCTGCCTGTGGTTGGGTCACCGTCCCTTCTGAGGCTGCTCGGAGGAGGGAGAGGACACTTGCCTTCGCGGGTGTTCTGCCCCTGAGACTGACGCTCCTTGGTGCTCTCTCTGTTCCCTCCCAGATCTTGGGAGAAGCGCGGACATCTCTGTTTCTGCTTTTGGTCCCCAATGCAGTTGCTCGCCCACCGGCCCCCTGTTTCTGGCGCCCCTGGGCGCGGGGGAGCTGGGGCCGCCCCGCCTGCGCACGGCGGTGCCGGGATTGGGGGCGGGCGCGCCGCCTCCGTCTCCCGCGTGCTCGCTCTTTCGCTCACTCGCTCCCGCCCTCCCCGCCTTGAGCGATCTCCTGCCTCAGCCTTGCAGGCTCCGCACTGCAGATGCCGGCGGCTTCCCTGTGCTCGGCGGCTCCCGCGGTGCCCCGCAAGTCCCCGTGACCCTCCAGCATCGGCTGTGCGCTCCCTGCTCCCAAGGGCCGGTCAGCTGCGGACACTCACCCAGCTCTGCGAGCCCAGCCGCTCAGCCGGTGAGGCAGCGGGGACTGAGACGGACGGTGGCCGCGCCAGAGCCTGGGGCGCTCCCGGATGCGGCAGGACAAGCTGACCGGGTCTCTGAGGCGCGGGGGGAGATGCCTGAAGCGGCAGGGCGGCGGCGTGGGCACCATACTGAGCAATGTGCTCAAGAAGCGCAGCTGCATTTCCCGAACCGCGCCCCGGCTGCTCTGCACCCTGGAGCCGGGTGAGGACCCAGGGCTGCAGATGGGGCGCTGGAAAGTAGCGCTGGGGCTGCCCGCGCTTCTGTCTTAGCCTGACTCCGTCTAGGCCGAGGAGCACCGGGGAGAGTCCGCTTGCCACCCGGTGCTGGGCACTGCGTTGGCACCTGCAGGGCACAATCGGTCTGGAAGGGCAGAGGGCAGATGGGGGCCTGGGCGGGGCAGCGGCCTCCCCAGGCACGGAGAACCCTCTTTTTCCACCCACTGCCCGCGGACCCCCACCCTGCGGCCTATGCTCTCGGCCTTCTCTGCGTGGCGGGGAAGTGCGGGTGGCTGCCCGGGCCATCAGAGGCCGCACCACCTATTGTGTTCCAGGCTCGCAGGAAGCCAGACCTTGCGAGAGGTGGGGGTGGAGAGAGGCACAGGTTTGATACTGGAGGTCAGAAGGGGAAGGCAGTGACTGCAAAGGCAAAATTGGGTGTTATTTTCCCAAGCGTCCCTTCAGCGTGAGTGCCGGGGTCAGCTTGAACTGGAGCCTGTAATTTGTGAGTGTGGGTGGGGAGCAGCAGGAGATCCTTTTCATAGGTGAGGTCCGGGAACGAGCCTGGCAGTGCTAGGCAAGGCCCTTCCTGCCGTCATCCTGTGTTTACCCATCCCTGCTTCTCCAGGCTGCATAACTCCGCGTCTGCTCTATCACCAGGCATCCCTCCCCGGGATTTTAAGATCCCAGCCCTAGCGCGGGCTCCTGGGCACGGAGGTTTCTGGCAAGGAGTGGCCGCAGAGGGAGTTGGCTGTACTCTCACTGGTGCTTGGCGCTCACCTGTTCCCTGGAATGGCACCAACTGGGCTCCAGGGGGGTTGGCGGTCTCTGGTCCCCACCCCCCAGCGCCTTGGGGACCTGCTGTAGTGCCGCAGGAGAATCGAGGCGCCGAGTCCCAAAGGGTGGGATGCGGCTCTGCCTTTCCCAACCTCGTGGTTTCTTTGTTTTTCTCCCCTAGGAAGTGGCTAGTTGCAGAGGCTGTAGTCTTTCTTCACCATCTTCCTTTACCTCTTTTTTTTTTTTTTTAAATCTCCTTCCCACGTTAAAAGTAAACGTTTTGTATTTCTGAATCCTGATAGCCGTGATTATCAGATGAAACATAAACCTTTTCTCTGCCCGTATTCTGTTAGAAGAAAAGGGGGGTGAAAGTGACCTGGTTTAAGCTTTTGCATGCAAGCGGCGAATCAATTTCAGTTAAATCCTCTTGCTCATTTTTGATCATGAGAGGATAGTTGTGGTTTTGGCCAACTAACCCCTGCTGGGTTTCACTATGGGAAGGCAATCGGCATGATGCCCAGCAGGTGCCCCGGAAAAGTTAGAAGAGCACATTGGTCAGACATACAGAGAATCCTTGTAGTGCGGCAAGAATGTCAGCGCGGGACCGAATTTCCTGGTCTTTGTTATCAAGCAAACGTCATGAATATACGCTCCTCCATTCAGCACCTCGCGTCTGGACAGCAACCTCACTTCTAGGTCTTGTTTCAACGTGCCTTAAAGTGTGCGCTGGGTTGGAAACACTCCTGTGGCCATTGTATCACCGTTCTACATTTGGGCAGGACTTCGTTTAAACCACCTCAGAGAGAGGCGGATCCATGGGGTACTTAACCTTCGGAGAAAAAAAAACTTACCTGTCCAGGCAGAGTATGGTTATGGCCCTGAAGCTTTAAAAAGAAATATCAAGGCATAGATTGGATGCCTGGGATTCTCTGTCACAGCTTACTTTGGAAACCTAGGACCCGACTCATGCATTTGCAGTGCTCCTCCAGGGTTCCAAGAAGAATACCTACATACTGTCATGGGCTTGCAAAAATCAGCTACATCTCTTTCCAGCTTCTTGACTTCACATATACATATTTTTTTAAAAGACCAGTCTGCTTGCTTACTTACTATTATTTCATAAATTCCAAAGGTTGTTCCTATTCATACCAACCTCTAAGAAGTGGAAGTTGTGGAGAAGTTTTCAGTACACCTAATCTGCTATCAACAATCTTAGAAACAAAAATGCCATCATTTGATTTTTGCAATTTGTAAAATTTAACGTTATTGATAATATTTGGCATTTCTTGGTCCTTGAACTTTTGAGCAATAAGTCCTTTAAAAAGTGGGGCTGGATGCAGTGGCTCATGCCTGTAATCCTAGCACTTTAGGAGGCTGAGGCAGGTGGATCGCTTGAGGTCAGGAGTTTCAGACCACCTTGACCAACATGACGAAACCCTCTTCTACAAAAAATACAAAAATAAGCTGTGCGGGGTGGCACGTGCCTATAATCCCAGCTATTTGGGAGGCTGAGATGGGAGGATTGCTTGAGCCTAGGAGTCCAAGGCTGCATTGTGCTATGACTGTGCCTGTGAATAGCCACTATACTTCAGCCTGGGTGATATATTGAGACTCTGTCTCTTAAAAAGAAGGAATTGAGACTGAGATAGGTTAGATAAATTGTTTCAGTCTAGGAACCAAGTCGAATGGAGGACTGTGTTACTCCAAGTTTGCGGTAACATTTTTTTGTTTTTGTTTTTGTGGTATTCCAGGCATCTATGTAAACCACCATCATGTGTAGTAAGGCACATTCTATTGCTGTAGGTATTTTCCTATTTTAAGAATCAATATGCTTACCTTTTAGCAAAATTGACTAAAATTTAGTAAAGATACATACTTTAAAAAAATTTGTGATGATTCAGCAGAATCAAGCTTTTACTTGTATTTTTGATATAACTTGTTATAGTCTCCAAAAATAACATCTATTATGTATTTCTCTTTCAGGAGTTGATACCAAGTTGAAATTCACTCTTGAGCCATCTTTAGGTCAGAATGGTTTTCAGCAGGTAACTTTGGTTTTGAAAAGACTCTTCTTTTGGGGGTACCAACAGGGCAGGCACATTGAGATATATTCTTAAAGTGGAAATAATGTGTTCTTTGATGTGAATATGAAGACTAGTCACTTCAAAAATATTTCGGGTAAAGTAGCCTTTGAGCTACAAGTGACCTGGGTTTATATTTGCAATGACAAATTTTGCACTTTCTATTAATGGTACATGTGTGAAAAAAATTTAGAGTGAATAAATTTCACACCTGTACCATAATGTCTATTATTCTGAACCCCATAACATATATTTTGGCTTATTAACCAGAGCTTCCCAGCCATTTTGTGTGTACTGCAAAGGGGTCACAGACGTGTTAAGGGTGCCCAAGGGATGGGACGTGGCACAGTAATAGCCATGGACTTATCAATTCTGTCTGAAAGAAGCTTTGACTGTTTACCCCATTGTGCTGTGCAAATTTCAATGCATTCTGTGAATGTCAAGATGGGAAAGAGATTGAAAAGTGCTTATCTAGGTCACTGTGATCACCTCCTGGGATTTCTTCTTTGTTCCTAGTGGTACGATGCTCTCAAGGCAGTTGCCAGGCTATCCACAGGAATACCAAAGGAATGGAGGAGAAAGGTAAGGGGGACTCATAGGGCTAGAATACAGAAGGATCATCTCTGCCCTTCTTTAAAGCCTCTGGAATGTCAAAGATATATTCTAGGTTTAGTTACTTGAAAACCTGTCTTGATTATTCATTCATGCAATAAATAATTATTGATTATTCTGTGCCAAGTAATGTTCTAGGTACTAGGGATAGAGCAGTGGAAAAAAACAGACCAAAGTTTTTTGTCCTCATGGAGCTTACAATGAATAAAATATAAAGTATGTCAGATGGTAATAAGTGCCATGGATAAAAATGTAGAGAGAAATAAAGAGCGTTTAGGAGAAAAGGGGTAAGGAGGTGGAATTTTAAATCGCAAGGTGACATTCGAATAGGCCCCTGAAGGAGGTGAGAAGCCAGCCATGCAACTACCTGGGAGGAGATACTCCAGGCAGAGGGAACAGCCAACGCAAGCACCCTCAGCCCTCAGGTGGGAGCATCTCGCATCTGGGTTGTATTCAAGCAAAGATGGGATGGGGCGGGGTGGGGCGGGGCTGGGGCACAGTGAACAAAGGGGGAAGAAATAGGAGAGGGAGTCATAGAGGTAATGTGGTGGGTTGAGGGGGTGGCAGATCATGGAGAATCTGGGAGGCTACCACAGGTCTTGGGCTTTTGCTCCGTGTGAGCTAGGAAGCACTAAGAAGTTTTGAGCAGGGGAGTGACATGATGAATGGGCTACTCTGGGTACTGACTTGAGAATATGAGAGACAAGGACTGAAATAGGGAGACCAGTAGGAGACTTGCAGTAGCTCAGGCAACAGATACATCAGGGTTGTGGTAGTGGAGATGGAGATCCTAGATTTATTTTGAAGACTGAGCTCACATGAATTCCTGTTGGACTGAATATAAGGTATAAAAGGGATGTCAAAGATGACTTCAAGATTTTGTCCTGAGTGATTGGGAGGTAGAATTACTGTTTACTCAGATGGGAGGAGCAGGTGTGTGTATGTCTGTAGGGTGGATGGTGGAGTAAGTGATTAGTTTTGGATCTGTTAGGGTTGAGATGCCTATTAGATATCTAATTTGGAGGTATCAAGTGAGCATTTGGATATATGCTTCTGAGGTTAGGAGAGAAGTCTGGCCAGATATATGAATCAATGTTTATTCCTGCTAAATCATGTTTAGATACCAAAACTTGAAATACATGCTTAGGATATTGATTTATAAGCCTAATCTTTGTATTTCTAGAATTTGAAAATGGAGGGTTCCTCAAAATATTCATAAAAATGACATTATGAAATACAACTTTCAGAAACAGATTTTCTGGATAAAATAATCAAAGGAGTAAAAATATCCAGTGGCTCTTTTTAAAAACTTATTCATTATGGGAGCCCATCTGTCAGTTTTGTGTATGTGTGTGAGAGGGATGGTTTAAAGGCAGAAGCCACTCCATGGTGAAAAAAAGCCCCATTCACCATGAGTGACCAGATGGTTCTTGCCCAAGTATGGAGAGCAATTGAGAGTCAAGTAAAATAAGCTTATGAGATTATACAGGTTATTCAATGAACAGAAATAAAATTTGAAAATCTTCTTGGTTTGTCTTCCTAACAGTACCCCTAATGCCTGGATTGCTGCTTGACACATAGTAGGAACTCAACAAATATTTACTGAAAGAGTAAATGAAAGGCTCTAAATGGTACAAATCAGTAAAGCAAAAATTTCCATGAAGCTCTTGTAGATTTCTACTTATGAGCAAAAGCTGGTCTAGGGGACACTTCCCATTTTCTTGTTGAATGCAATAACTACTTTCTAATAAAGTTGAAATTATATATTCTACTTTGGCATTTTCCTTTGTCTATGTAATATTTTAGGTTTGGTTGACCTTGGCAGATCATTATTTGCACAGTATAGCCATTGACTGGGACAAAACCATGCGCTTCACTTTCAATGAAAGGAGTAATCCTGATGATGACTCCATGGGAATTCAGATAGTCAAGGTAATGCCCCTGAACTTGGCCTGTCATCCTAATACAGAAGAAAGACTCTAAGAACCAGTTGCTTTTTGGACAGAGGATCGAATGATCTCTACCTTCTGGTTTGAATATCTGTATATTTTCTGCCTTCTCATTTCATTGGCTTTTTCATGGGGAACCTTGACAATGTGTTGTCTGCATAAATTTAAATGTTACCAGTAAGAAGAAAATGTTTGCGAATGAACTTTCATTCATATTCAACTTATTAATCTTCCTCACACTATAGGAAGGACCCTTTATCATGGGTCAATAATGCCAACTGGATTTTTATATAAAAGTCACTGATTAAAAAAGTTAGTTAAGTATATTTCATATGAGAATCATTTGGTTCTTATTAGGGTCTTCCATAGTTTCTTAACTGCCCATTTCTAAAGACAGGTTCAGAGGTGGGGTCTACTTCCAACCAAATACTTGTGGGTTCAAGCCAGCTGTGTAGGCAGTGGCTTGCTTACCTGGATTATTACAGCTGAACAGAGCCTGGTGCTAAAAGCCAAGGATACTGATTCTGTTTGATCCCAGTATTATCCTCTTACATAAGGCTCTAGAACATGGTTTTTGATTTTATATGAGTACATTACAGTGTGATACTAAGCTGGGGTTTTAAAAGGAAAGTTGTTTCATCCAAATTTTGGCCACCTCAAGATGGCTAATGTTTTGGCATATTTGGAGATTTTTTTAAAGGAGGAAGTACTAACTAAAATCAGCTACTTTCTGTTCTAACTTCGTCTGTTTCAGACAAATGCTAAAAAAGTTATGCAATTTTACATTGTGTACTAAAAAGCCTTTGCATTATTCACATTTAAGCTATATATTTGGAATTTTAGAATATGTTTCACAGAGATGAAGTATCTCATATTTGAAATGTTTCCTTTTTGTCTAACTGGTGAATTAAGGCAATGCACTTTTTGTAACAATCATCTTATTAAGAGGATCTTTTGTTTTCTCATTGAAGTGAATCTTATGTCAGTTAATGACTTCAACTCTTGAAAATTATAGTCCCTGCTTAGTAATTAAATTATAGATATTGCCTTCATTAAAGCACATCAAGTATTTCTTTCTTATATAAATTCATAAAATAATTTGAATAGAATGATTTTTCTCTCTATAATCACATTTTTTGCTATTTTGATTTCACTCCTTTATGTTATTTAGAGTTTTGATAGCTAAATATTATACTTTATTTGTAGAAAGGAAGAATGTTACCCTCATACATGTATTGTGATGGCTATTGTTTTATCTGAGAAATATTATTAAAACAAATTATCAATTTATATGAAATTATAATGTAATTATTATTAATTCTGAGCTACTTTTTGTGGTAATCCTGGAAACATTTTAAGTTGAAAATTTGCCTGACTGAAATTGCCCTTGCAAATCTCTCTTAAACAGCATATTACAAAATATTATGAAAAAGAAAGCTAAAAATGCATTTTGGCTCATATGTATAACAACATACACATTTTTGAAAAATAAAATTTATGTTGATAATTTGATTCTGTTTATTGAGTCAAAAAATAAGGTTTATTTTGAAATAATATTAGGAGTTGTGTTTTTGAAAATGTTGTTTCCCTTCCATTTTAGGACCTTCACCGCACAGGGTGTAGTTCTTACTGTGGCCAGGAGGCTGAGCAGGACAGGGTTGTGTTGAAGCGGGTGCTACTGGCCTATGCCCGATGGAACAAAACTGTTGGGTACTGCCAAGGCTTTAACATCCTGGCTGCACTAATTCTGGAAGTGATGGAAGGCAATGAAGGGGACGCCCTGAAAGTGAGTAGCAGGCTCTAACAAAGGCAATGGACATTCTTCTGAGAGTGAGAAATTGGAACTATAATCTCTCTTCCTTGATGTCTCATCCTTTTCCAAGGTGTTTGTCACTCCTTTGTAATGACCTATGATAGCATTTCCTCCAGGTTGGAGTCATGTCAAGTGACAGACTTATGTAGCTGCCAACTGTGAGGAAAATTGTTATGTGTTTAGTATCATTTATAAGACAACATATTTTAAAGCAAGTTAAATATTAATTGTATTGGTTATTCATTGCTATTCAACAAATTAGCTGCTTAAAACAGCAAACACGTATTATCTTACAGCTTCTTTGCGTCAGAAATCTAGGCATAGCCTAACTGCCTCAAGGACACATTGCTGTGGCGGTTAAACTGTTGGTTGGCGTTGTGGTCTCATCTAAAGGCTCATTTGGAGGTGGGCATTGGCTTTCAAGTTTGTTTATGTAGTTGTTGGCAAGATTTAATTCCTCACAGGCTGTTGGACTGAGGCTCCAGTTCCTTGCTGGCTGTTGACTGGAGGCCTTTTATAGTTCCTTGCCATGTGGGCCTATCCATCTCCCAACCCAGTGGCTGGCACCCCCAAAATGAGCAAGAGAGTAAAAGATAGTGAGCAAGGCAAAAGAGTTTAAGTTCCAGATTTGTAGCCAAACATCAGAAGTGACATCCCACTATATTTCCGTGTTCTGTTCTTTAGAAATCAGTCACCAGGTTCAGCTCATAGTCAAGGGGAAGGGCTCATACAAAGGTGTGACTGTATTGTGTTAGAACTGCCTCCGACACCAGTTATGCTTCATTCTGATTGGATTGCATTATTGGGCTGCTTTACTCTTTCATATTTGGAGCAAGATATGGAGGAGTTGGATTGAGAGTGAGTGTCTATGGAAAGTGTTTGCATGGAGAAGCATTATGGAATTGACTTACATTAATATCTTTTAATCTTTGATGCCTAGGACCTTTATTAGTTAAATTTTAAAAATGTGTTGAGATGGGGCACTAGTGATTTAAGCTCATTGATTTGCATGTGAGTCAGTGAGTCACCAGAAATAGAGTGCTTATGAGAAACGAAACATTTTAAATGTGGAGGCTAATGCCTATTTGCTTAAGGCAATGTGGGGTTACTAATTCATATTTGAACCTTTAAACTGCTCTTGACTGCAATGCTTTGTGATGTATGAGATAGATACTTAGTCTTCGTGTTGAAGAACCACCCCTGCCACAACCCTACTCCCAACAACTTGTGTTTGACTATGGTTAATACCTTATTGATGCTGTCAATCACTGATTAATGTGATGTGGAAAAATAAACAAATGTTCCTCTTGGTTTTATACATATCATGGTGGACAAGTTATAAATCCAGCTTGACATGATCTAAATCTGTGTTCAACCTCTCACTTTTTCCATTGATGTATTTAAGGAAGCAGCTTTGAAGTTACTTGTTCATCACAAAGGCACGGGTAGGAGAGGGAGGAAGGCAGTGACAAATACATGACTTTAAGATGTTTTTTATTAAGAAGGAATTTTGTTTACTCAGTCTGTCAGCTTTCATCAGTTTTTTTCCAGATGTAATTGGTATGACTATAAAATGGGAATTTTCTTTAGAGCAATTGGAATAAGTGAATCAAGTTAGGGGTGGGATGGAGATGTCCAAGGAAGGAAGTGTACATCCCAATCAAATTATGAAAGGGCTCAGTAATACTTGAGAAACTAGAAATTAAAAACTCACTTACAAATATGGATTAAAGATGAGAAACTGAATATTTCAGCCCCCACGAAAAAGAGCTCCATGCAATGAGATGATGTGATCATCCTTTAAGAGTGTATAGATCTTGTGTTTAGACATTTAATACGCAGAGGAAGGTTGGCTTCGTGAAGAAACACTTCTGATGTCGAGGAAAATATTGTATGTCTGTTTTTCCAGCATAGACTCTACAAGTCATAATTACTAGGGAAATATATAGTTTATTAGAAATAGGTGAACCATTTTTTCCTGCTATTAGCACTTAAGTTTTTACTTAGCAAATCTTTTATTTTTGTTAAAAATTCAGAGCTCTCCCATTATTTAGCCAAATCTTTTTTTTTTTTTTGGAGACAGAGTCTTGCTCTGTCACCCAGGCTGGAGTGCAGTGGCATGATCTTGGCTCACTGCAACCTCCGCCTTCCAGGTTCAAGCAATTCTCCTGCCTCAGCCTCCCGAGTAGTTGGGATTACACGTACACGCCACTACACCAAGCGAATTTTTGTGTTTTTAGTAGAGATGGGGTTTCACCGTGTTGGCCAGACTGGTCTCAAACTCCTGACCTCAGGATCCTCCTGCGTCAGCCTCCCAAAGTGCTGGGGTTGCAGGCGTGAGCCACTGTGCCTGGCTTTTTTTTTTTGGATCTAAGAGTTGACCTTGGAAATACAGTGGTGGGTGCTTTGAGTGAGCTGGCTCTATGTCTTCACATCAGACATTGAGATGCCTTCAGATAGAGAATTTCACTGTCACAGGAATTAGTATGATAATTGAAGATTTTTTTTTTTTTTGCTTGTTTTCACGTAATTTTGAGGAATCATAATTTCTCAATAAAAACCAAATATCTTTCTTGGCACTACGTATCTTATCCTTAGGTGAAAAATACAATAGTTGTCAGTGTATGACCTTTACGTCTGCATTCATGATCCTGTAAATTCCTCTAATTCTGATCCATAGAGTGCTAGGTTCCTGCAAGGGTACTCCGCCATGCTGAAACTTGCTCTCCTCATCAGCTGCTGCCTCCTCTCCCCACAAAGACAGAATTTACTCCTTTTCTTGTTGCTGAGCTCCTATTTCCAAGATGATGTTACATTTACCTGGTAAATTTTATCCTAACATAAGAAGGCTAAGGCCCAGTGGGTCTGGCCACCTTATAACAAAGGAGAAGGTCCTCCTCGAGAGCATGCCCCTGCCCTACTGACTCGTTCAAAACTATGACCCTGAAAAGTAGAAATTATAAGCTGAGGAGGAGGGAAAAATGGGCCCTTGGCAGGGCAGGGAGATTTTTTTTGGGCGGGGGGCGGTGGGTGGAAATAGAGTTTTACAGTATCCTGAATGTCAAAATGTGAGATAGCTACTGTTCTACCAACATAGAGCCCGTTATGTATATAGAGCCAGTTATGATTTTGTTCTTAATTTTGTTTTTCTGGTGCTTTGGGGAAGGAGCTGGTCTTTTAGGGAGTGGGTCAGGTACAGCATGCCAGACCTTTTAAGAATGAAGCCGCCTGAATTAGCACCTGGATACTCTTCAGAGAACTGCAAACAAAGAAAGTGGAGATAGTGATTCAATGCTATTATAACTCTGAAAATATCTGACTTCTCCAATTCCACTGTACAAATGAGCCTAAACATTGAATGGAAATACATGGTTCCCGGTATTTTTGTTGGTAAGAGTTTGGTGGGAAAGAACCAGGGATTGACTTACAGACCTCATGTGTGTTTGGCTGGGTCATTCTAGAGGTTCTTGACATTTTAGGAAAGGTAATACAAGTAGAAAAATCAAAATGAAAATAGCAATTTGAAGAACTTCTATAACAACCTTATGAAAGAAATACAGATTTTGAAAAGTACTATTTGTTCAAACAAAGCATAGTTGCATTTTCCCAGGAAGTGGACAAAAACCAACATGAGTTGCTCTAATAGCCCAGGTCGATGGTGAGTAAGTCTTGAGAGCTGCTTCTGTGGGGGTATTTTATGATAGGCCTGCTCTTAGTTTTCATGTTGAGGTTGTAAAACTGTGCTGACACCAAGGAGCCAATGCTGAGGCTCTGCTGGCTGCTGCACAAGCTTGGGCTTTGTCATTTCTCAGAATGATGCTAAGGGTTGCATAATCAGAGCTACTTATGGGCCGAACTCAGGTCTAGCAGCCCATCTAGAAATTTCAGACAGCAGCAGACTTGAGGTCTGAGTTGCTTAGATGATTATGCCACATGCTCCCTAGCCAGGCTGTAGGAGAGCCTTGTAAATCTGGAACATTTCGTACTGATGCATTTAAGGATAGTGTGCTTTGGCTAACAGCATTTTATCTATTTGAATACTTATTTTCTCTTTAGGACATGTTGGGATCCCAGTTTTTACAAAGCAGTCTTAAGCTTTATCTTTTTTTCTTTAGATTATGATTTACCTTATTGATAAGGTACTTCCCGAAAGCTATTTTGTCAATAATCTCCGGGCATTGTCTGTGGATATGGCTGTCTTCAGAGACCTTTTAAGAATGAAGCTGCCGGAATTATCTCAGCACCTGGATACTCTTCAGAGAACTGCAAACAAAGAAAGTGGAGGTAGGATTCAATGCTCTTGTAACTGAAAATATTTGTCTTCTCTGATTCCACTGTACAAATGAGTCTAAACATTGAATGGAAATATATATTTCCAGGTATTATAAGAGCTTGGTGTAATGAAACAGATTTTTAGAGAATGAAAACAAAACTGAAAATAACAAAAGGCCACATGTTGAACCTCTAACTGGTCATAGTTAGGAAGTCAGTCAAGAGCCTAATGCTAGTACCAGATCAACAACTGAAATGATGTACTCTGGATGGAGTACCACGTACACATCTTACTATCTAGTTAAATTGCTCTAAGCTGGCACCAAACTTGCAGGAGTCTTTAAAACTGAGCTACAGGTACAATTTAGTACAAACTGGTTTTACCTGAACCATTGAGATTATGAAAGAGTAGCTAAGAGCCACTGCTATCTAGTGGGCATGATCCAGTTTTTGGAAGTATCTGAGGTCATAGCTGTCATTATACGCACTGCTTGTACTTCCCTGGCTGTGTGTACAGAATAGTCAGGAGTTTGTTGTGTTTCCTCCAAGCCAGTGGTCCCCAACCTTTTTGGCACCAGGGACCGGTTTCAGGGAAGACAGTTTTTCCACAGACTAGGGCTTGGGGGATGGTTTCAGGATAATTCAAGCACATTATATTTATTGTGTACTTTATATATATTATTATTACATTGTAATACATAATGAAATAATTACACAACTCACTGTAATGTGGGATCAGTGGGAGCCCTGAGCTTGTTTTCTTGCAACTAGATGGTCCCACCTGGGGGTAATGGGAGACAGTGATGGATCATCAGGCATTAGATTCTCATAAGGAGCGTGAAACCTAGATCCCTCACATGCACAGTTCACAACAGGCCTTGTGTTCCTATGAGAATCTAATGGTGCTGCTGTGTCGGAGGCAGAGCTCAAGTGGTGAGCAATGGGGAGTGGCTGTAAATACAGATGAAGTTTTGCTTGCTGCTCACCTCCTGCTGTGTGACCTGGTTCCTAGCAGGCCACAGACCCAGAGATACCTGAGTGTCTCTAGGCATTTCCTTCTAAGCCATTTGAATAATCTCATTTAACTTGGCTCTGCAGTATAACTGTGTGGATTTTATAATGCTTCCGGATAGGCCAATCTTCCCTGTCCCCTAGTCAAGACTCACTTTAGTGAGCTACATGTTTTTACCCAAGTGCCTTGCACTTGGCTGTGAGGAACAACCTCAGATTCTAGTCTGTGAACAAAGATACTCCCATTGTTCATAGGTAAGGAGGAAGAAAATGAATATAGGAAAACAGACATCTTTTTGTTTACACTTAGGTAATTGTACATATTGGCTATAATTTGGAGGGAGGATCGCTCTAAATATTTGAATTTTTATATCACATAAAAATACATACTGATCACATAAAGTAAGAGAGAGTACTATGTTTTTAATAAATTCAGAAATTTCAAAATTGGCTGGACCCAATTTGAAATCTTTAGTTGGAAATACTTTTAAATGTAATGTTTATTCTCTATTTTGGGATTTGCCAACTATCTTTCTGTTAATGATTTCTAGTTTAACTCCACTGTGGTCTGAGAACTATGTATAACTTAAGAAGTTGATAGATAATTTATAGTGAGCAATTTTATTCTTATCAAAGCAGCATTTGAATATAAGTGGGCATTATATGATTTCGAAAATCTGATGGCTTTTGCTTTTGAGAGACTGAAATCCTTTCTTTTTCTTCTGTTTTTGGTGAGGAAAACTTTCTCCTTAATTTTCAGCTCACTACAATAGGCAGAGCCAAAATAAATTTTAGGTTAAGATTTCTGAAGTATTGTAAATATTTTGTGAAGTTCATATTTATAAAGCATACCTGTGTTTTTCCAGAAACATGGCAGGAAAAATAGGAAGAAAGAACAAGAGTTTAGAAATATGAGGAAATCAGTCAGGAAATACAACACATCTGAGTGGACATGGAAGACTAGAAAAGGGTATCTGCATATGTGGCCAATCATCAGTTCTGAAGGAATTGAATGTGTTTGTTTTGTTTCAGGTGGATATGAGCCCCCACTTACAAATGTCTTCACGATGCAGTGGTTTCTGACTCTCTTTGCCACGTGCCTCCCTAATCAGACCGTTTTAAAGATCTGGGATTCAGTCTTCTTTGAAGGTTCAGAAATCATCCTAAGGGTATCGCTGGCTATCTGGGCAAAATTAGGAGAGTAAGTGAGTTCCACATTCTGCTCTGTTCTGTGATGTTGAGGGTCTTAAGCAGTTTTTGTGCTCTAATATGTAAAGCATCGATATTTAAGTGAAAACAGAAAGTTGTGAACTTTTAAAATTGCTTTAGCCTCTTGAAATCTCAGCAGGCTCATTGCTGGCACATGCAGTCTATTTTGGAGAAGGGGGCAGACTCCTTTAGGCCTTCAGATTCTCCCGCTCCTCCTCAAGTGCTTGTGTCCTGGCTGGTTCACTCCTTGTCAGCATCTCTGTGGACACTAGTTGGGAAGAGGGAGAGGAACTTAGGTGGCAGAGAAACTGAAAGATGTGGTTAGGAGTAGGTGAATTTGTTAGTTAATATTACAATTTGGATTATTGATGAATCTTTATTTTGTTCTGCCTTTCAGGGCTGTGATAAAATTAAATGAGATAACAAGGTATCTAGCCTGGTAGAACACATAGAACTTCTTTCCTTTCATTAAGAATTAATACTCTGTTGGAATCTGTCACTGCCAAAACATATTACCAAATAGATTTTGCTTATATTCTTTACTGGTAGCAGGGCTGAAAAAGATAGGGTGTTTTTCATTCATCTTTGATATATTATGACTACTACATAAATTTCGTACCTTCTGGGTAACGGAAGAAGCATTAAGTGGTGAAGTTTTTACCATTTCTCTTCTGGAGCTATAAATGACGAGTGGGTTCCCATAGACAATATGTCACAAAACTAGTAAATCACTGGCACTGTTTTGTTTAGAAAACCTTTTAGCTAGCCTTTGTATTTATGGTAAGTTGTTTCCTGGGAAACTTCTGGCATTTTTAACAATTTTGCAAAGAAAGATCCACCAACTATCAATTCAGGGACTTAAAAAATTATTCTTGTGTGTATTTTTAAACATCACCTAGCTATCTCCTTTGCCTTGGTTTTGTTGTACGTTGCTTTTCAGCTGGGTAAATAAATTCATCTGTATGGGATTTGGTGTGCTATTTACTTATCTCTCATTACCTCCCAGTAACTACCTCTTGCTGCAGCCATGTATTTCCAACTTACTCTATACGTTGTAAACCCTTTGAGCTTTGATAGTTTCTTTGGGTGTGATAGTCCAGTTGCTGCATGGCTGGTTTATAACATTAAAATAGTAAAGCGCTTTACTGTATGATGAGCCAGTTATAATTGCCTTTGTGTTGGTTCTTCATGAGGGAGCAGGAAGAAAAGAGGTGATCCTGGTTTTACTCCTCTCTATCCATTAATCTGTAGAATCAGAATTTATTCCTATGATCATTCCAGGGATGTCACACTGTTGAAATAATAATAGCTGCAACAAAAGCCAATATTCATTGAGTGCTTGCAATGAACAGGAACTGTTCTAATTACTCTGGATGTATAAACTCATGTATTCTTCATCATCCTGTAAAGTACGCACTGTTGTCATCTCCATTTTATAGATGTGAGAATTGAGGCACAGAGAAGTTCAGTTAATTGTCTAAAGTCACCCAATTACTAAGTGGAATGGCCTGAATTTCAACCCAGGCTTTCCTAGCTCTAGAGTCTGTGCTTTTAATAGTGTGAATCTACTGATAATAAATGACTAGTCTTTTTGAAGTTTAGGGGATATATGAATCAGAATGGTAGAATTTTAACTCTGTCAGTTTTTGCTTATTACAATCTGTATGTTTTGAGCATGCAGCTTGTTAAGGGAAAGGAAAGGCAATTGACATACATCATAAATGTCTGCAGTGCCTGCCATTGTGTTAGGCAGTTTAAACACATAATCTCATTCAGTTCTCCCAACAACCCTGTGAAGTAGGTAGGGTTGTTCTCCCTGTCTTTTCCGTAAGAAAATTTCCCCAGGAAGGTTAATTAGCTAGTTCATAGTCACACAGCCAGTGAATAGCAGAACTGGGACTTAAATTTGGATCTTTCTGATTCTAGTGCCTATAATCTTCCCCACAAACTTCCTGTTGGAAAAACCATAAAAGCATATAGGTAATCTCCAGTTTATGTACACCTGAGTAACATGTGCCTTATATATGGTTATCTAGGACCTTTCCTTTCACCTGGCTTCTGCAACTTGGAATTTCTACCTTTCACTTCACCAAGGGTACTCTGGAATATGTAAATTGTAGACCATTAGCACACTATCACTAGCATCTCTTTATGTGTCCTTTCTCCTCTGCCCCTGCTGTTTTGGTTTCCTCCCTCATCACCCATGCCTGGCCCACTGTGGTATGTCCTCCTTGGTTTCCCCATGGTAACCCACATTTGCCGTGCCACCTCCAGGCAGACCTTGCCAAGGGCACAGCTGTTCCCTCATTCCCTACTTAAAGCCTTTTCATGACTCATGCTCTGTAGAGGCTCAGCTGCCAGGTGAGGCCTTTGCTCTCTGCTCTCAGTAGCTCTCTTCCCTCAGCTCTCACTGGCTTCCTCTGGTCCTGCAACCACTTCCCCCATGCTGGTCTCGCTGGTTGTGTGGAGCTACTTGCAGTTCCCCAGATGAGGCCTGCTGTCTCCTGCATCTGTGTCTTTGGAATGCTTATTCTTCCTTGTCAGCCTGAAAAACAATTTCATCTCAACATTATTTCTCTTCCTTACCTCCCGGGGTAAACTTAAGCACCTTTCATTCATGCCCACAGGCTGCTCTACACTTTTATAGTAATACTTCAGCAGTTTATTCCATTCATTTATTTACATGATTGTGGCAATGGGATTAGAACAACACTCCAAAACTATGGTTTTTCCGTAATCATATTATTTTGGATGGCTTTACAGAAATCCCCCAGCATTAGTGTATATCTTCTGGTTAGTGGGAAACTAGAGTTATCCTACAATACAAAGAATGTTGTCATATAAAATGGAAATACCTAGGCTGGGTGCTGTGGCTCATGCCTGTAATCCCAGCACTTTGAGAGGCCAAGGCAGGTGGATCACTTGAGGCCAGGAGTTTGAGACCAGCCTGGCCAACATGGTGAAGCCCCATCTCTACTAAAAATACAAAAAATCAGCAGGGCGTTGTGGTGGACGCCTGTAGTCTCAACTACTCAGGAGGCTGAGGCAGGAAGATTGATTGAACCCAACAGGTGGAGGTTGCAGTAGGCTAAGATCACACCACTGTGCTCCAGCCTGGGCGACAGAGGGAGACTTTGTTACAATAAATAAATAAATTGGAAATACCTGGTACTCTTTGCTTTGGGCTCTTCCGTTTTCCCCTTTCTAGAAGAAAGATTGAAGTCCAGCCTGGCTCACAGGTAGCCAAGTGAGTGTCAGATTCTTTATTTACATGTAGAACTGAATGCAGGAAAAGGTGTAATCTCCAACTAGCAGCAGCACCCTGAGAAGAACTCAGAAAATTCTGCCTGTGAAAACTCCCCATGGACTGATGAAATATGCAGATGCAGTTCTTGTAATTTTCATCTTTTATTCCTACTGTGGTTTGGTTTTAAATTATTATATTAATGATATCACTGTTTGCAGATTAAGACCAATAGACTCCCTCAAAGGAGATAATTGTTCTTTAGTACCCAATTTCATGGTTATGGTTTCTAACCAGTGGTGAGAATTCTGATGTGTAGATTGTGTCCCGTGGAAACAATAAAGATGCCACAGCTGGGATTGTGAGGCTGGGGGAGCCAAGTAGGAATGACAGGACTTATCCAAAACGAGTACCTTAAAGTTGCTTTTAGTATTTTTAAATGTTTCACCCACAGTGGGCTTTAGGAATATCAGGATTTTGATATTCATTGATTGATAACTTGAGTTATTTGATGGCAAAAGGCCACTGCCCCCCCTTTTTTTGAGACAGGGTCTCACTCTGTCATCCAGGCTGGGTTGCAGTGGTGCTATCATGGCTCACTGCAGCCTTGGCCTCCCAGGCTCAGGTGATCCTCCTGCTTTAGCCTTCTGAGTAGCTGGGACCACAGGTGTGCACCACGATACTCAGCTGATTTTTAAAATTATTTGGAGAGATGGGGTCTTGCTGCGTTGAGGCTCCTGGCCTCAAGCAATCCCCCTGCCCCAGCCTCCCAAAGTGCTGGGATTATAGGCATGAGCCATCATGCCCAGCCCAATATATCTTATACCTGCAGCATGCACTGTTACACAGCATGGATGCCCTAAACAAGTTCTATTTTCTGTCCTTTCTTTATCTAGGCAGATAGAATGTTGTGAAACAGCAGATGAATTCTACAGCACCATGGGGCGCCTTACCCAGGAGATGCTAGAGAATGATCTTCTGCAAAGCCATGAACTCATGCAGGTGAGTGGGCAACATGGAGCAGCCTGGCTCAGGGAACCCCAGGCACGGTGGGAACAACCAGTGCCAGAGCAGCGGTCTTGAGAAATGTGCTTGGTTAGCTGTCAGACTTAGTTTCTTAAATTGACCAAGAGTCTGTTTATAATTTGATAAGAATGTATGTCATAAAAGGAAGTAAGAAATGAATGATGGATATTTGTTGTATCTTTCCTTCAGACTGTGTTGCTTAGAAATCATTAGCAGCAATATAAAGATAAACTGGAAAAATACACTGGAAAAACAGAATCACCAAGTGCTTATTCTGAATTTTATTCTTAGCTTTTCTTTCCTTTTTTGAGACTGTCTCATTCTATCACCCCAGCTGGAGTGCAGTGGCACAATTGTTGCTCACTGTAGCCTCTGTCTCCTGGGCTTAAGCGATCCTCCTATCTCAGTCTCCTGAGTAACTGGGACTACGGGCTTATGCAGCCATACAGCTAATTTTTTATTTTTATTTTTGTATAGATGGAGTCTTGCTATGTTGCCTAGGCTAGTCCTGAACTCCTAGACTCAAGTGATCCTCCTATCGCGGCCTTCCTAAGTGCTGGGATTACAGGCATGAACCATTGTGCCCAGCCTACTTAGACTTGTGGGGGAAAACAGTTAGTGTGGGGAAGAAATTATTGAGGATAAAAAAGATTATTCTCATCAGCATTTTGATTCATTTGTTTTACCCACATTTTCAACTCAGGTAACTATATATTAATCATAAATTTTAAAGTGAAAGACTTGAAGGGTTTGGTTATTTTTTTATGGCATATTACTGTACCTCAATATCATATTCATCAAGTCTTTGAAATTGACAGCAAGTATAGAAAAAATAGCTGACTTATTAACACTCACTCTTCCATTAGATTCTTTTTTTAATTTTTGTGGGCACATAGTAGGTGCATATATTTATGGGGTACATGAGACACTTTGATATAGGCATGCAATGCATAATAATCATATCATGGTAAATGGGGTATTCATCTCCCCAAGTGTTTATCCTTTGTGTTAGAAACAATCCAATTATACTTTTAAAGTTATTTCTAAATGTGCAATTAAATTACTATTGACTCTAGTCATCCTGTTGTGCTATCAAATACTAGGTCTTATTCATTTTTTCTAACTACTTTTTGTACCCAGTATCTCTACTTCCCTATCAACTACTCTTCCCAGCCTCTGGAAACCATCCTGCTACTGACTATCTCCATCATTTCAATTGTTTTAATTTTCAGCTCCCACAAATAAGTGCAGACATTCAAAGTTTGTCTTTCCGTGCCTGGCTTATTTCACTTAACATAATGATCTCCATTTCCATCCACGTTGTTGCAAATGACAGAATCTCATTCTTTTTTTATGGCTGAATAGTACTCCATATTGTATATATACCACATTTTCTTTATCCCTTCATTGGTTGATGGACACTTAGGTTGCTTCCAAATCTTGGCTATTGTGAACAGTGCTGCGAGAAACACGGGAGTGCAGATACCGTTTTGATATACTGATTTCCTTTCTTTTGGGTGTGTAACCAGCAGGGAATTTTTGGATCATATGGTAGCTCCAATTTTAGGTTTTTTTTGAGGAACCTCCATCCTGTTCTCCATAGCGATTGTACTAATTTACATTCCCACTAACAGTGTACAAGGGTTCCCTTTTCTCCACATCCTTGCCAACATTTGTTACTGCCTGTCTTGATTAAAAGCCATTTTAACTGGGGTGAGATAATATTTCATTGTCATTCTGATTTGCATTTTTCTGATGATCAGTGATTTTGAGCATCTTTTCTTTGTTGTTGTCGGGTTTTTTTTTTTTTTTTTTTTTTTTTTGGAGGCAGAGTGTCACTCTGTCCCCAGGTTGGAGTACAGCGGCACCGTCTCAGCTCACCGAATCGCGGTTCAATAATCACTCCTGGGAGCCGGGCGCGGTGGCTCACGCCTGTAATCCCAGCACTTTGGGAGGCCGATGTGGGTGGATCATGAGGTCAGGAGATCCAGACCATCCTGACTAACACAGTGAAACCCTATCTCTACTAAAAGTACAAAAAATTAGCAGGGCGTGGTTGCGGGCGCCTGTAGTGCCAGCTACTCGGGAGGCTGAGGCAGGAGAATGGCGTGAACTCGGAAGGCGGAGCTTGCAGTGAGCTGAGATCGCGCCACTGCACTCCAGCCTGGGCGACAGAGCGAGACTACGTCTCAAAAAAAAAAAATTGCTCCTGAGTTCAAGCGATTTTCGTGCCTCAGCCTCCCGAGTAGCTGGAATTACAGGTGTTCGCCACCATGCCAGGCTAATTTTTGTATTTTAGTAGAGATGGGGTTTCTTTTTTTTTTTTTTTTTTTGTGAGATGGAGTCTCGCTCTGTCGCCGAGACTGGAGTGCAGTGGCCGGATCTCGGCTCACTGCAAGCTCCGCCTCCCGGGTTTACGCCATTCTCCTGCCTCAGCCTCCCGAGTAGCTGGGACTACAGACGCTCGCCACCTCGCCCGGCTATTTTTTTGTATTTTTTACTAGAGACGGGGTTTCACCGGGTTAGCCAGGATGGTCTTGATCTCCTGACCTCGTGATCCGCCCGTCTCGGCCTGAGATGGGGTTTCACCATGTTGGCCGGGCTAGTCTCAAACTCTTGACATCAAGTGATCCTCCTGCCGAGCTTGGCCTCCCAAAATGCTAGGATTATAGGCGTGAGCCATGGCGCCTGGCCTAGAGCACTTTTCATAAGCCTGTTTGTCATTTGTATATCTTCTTTTGAGAAATGGCTATTCAGATCTTTTGCTAATTTTTAATCAAATTATAAGATTATAAGAGTTATTTGAACCCCTTATATATTCTGGTTATTAATCCCTTTTCCGATGAGTAGTTTACAAATATTTTCTTCCACTCTCTGAGTTGTCTCTTCATGTTGTTGATTGTTTTCTTTGCTGTGCAGGAGCTTTTTAACTTGATATGATCCCATTTGTCCATTTTGCTTTGGGTGTTTGTCCTCATGGGGTATTACTCAAGAAATTTTTGCCCACTACAATGTTTTGGAGAGCTTTTCCAATGTTTTATTGTATTAGTTTCAAGTTGGAGGTCTTAGATTTGAGTTTTTAATCCATTTTGATTTGATTTTTGTATATGGCAAGAGATAGGGGTCTAGTTTTGTTCTTCTGTGTATGGATATCTCGTTTTCCTGGCACTATTTATTGAAGAGATTGTCTTTTCCCCAATGTGTGTTCTTGGCACCTTTGCCGATAATGAGTTCACTGTAGGTATGTGGATTTGTTTCTGGGTTCTCTGTTCTGTTCCATAGGTCTGTGTGTCTGTTTTTATGCCAGTACCATGCTGTCTGGGTTACTATAATAGTAGTATAATTTGAAGTCAAATAACGTGATTCCTTCAGTTTTGTTCTTTTTGCTCAGAATAGCTTTGACTATTCTGGGTCTTTTGTGGTTCCATATAAATTTTAGGATCGCTTTTCTGTTTCTGTAAAGAATATCGTTGGTATTTTGATAGATATTTTATCAAATCTGTAGATTGCCTTAGGTAGTATGGACATTTTAACAATACTGATTCTTGCAATCCATGAACGTGTTGTATCTTCACATTTTTTTGTGTCCTCTTTGATTTCTTTCATTAGTGTTTTATGGTTGTCATTGTAGAGCTCTTTCATTTCTTTGGTTAACTTAATTCCTAGGTAGTTAATTTTGTTTGTTGCTAATATAAATGGGATTTTAAAACTTCTTTTTCAGATTGTTCACTGTTTGCATATAGAGATGCTACTGATTTTTCTTTACTGGGAGACTTTTTATTATGGCTTCCATCTTGTTACTTGTTATTGGTATGTTCAGGGTTTGGATTCCTTCATTGTTCAATATTGGTAGGTTGTATGTCTAGGAATTTATCCATTTTCTCTAGATTTTCTGATTTATTGGTATACAGTTGCTCATAGCAGTCACTAATGATCCTTTGATTTTCTGTGGTATTAGTTTTAATGTCTCCTTTTTCATCTCTGAGTTTATTTGGATCTTCTTTTTTTCTTAGTCTAGCTACAGGTGTGTCAATTTTATTTATCTTTTAAAAAAAACCAACTTTTCATTCTTTAATCTTTTGTATTGTTTTTTCATTCAGTTTTATTTATTTCTGCTCCGATCTTTATTGTTTCTTCTACTAATTTTGGGTTTGGTTTGCTCTTGTTTTTCTAGTGCTTTACTATATATCATTACATTATTTATTTGATGTTTTTCTTCTTTTTCGATGTAGACATTTATAACTATAAATTTCCCTCTTAGTACTGCTTTCACTGTGACCCCATAGGTTTTAGTATGTTGTATTTTCATTATCATTTGTTTCAAAAACATTTTCAGTTTCCTTTTTAGTTTCTTCATTGACCCACTGGTCACTCAATAGCATACTGTTTAATTTTTATGTGTTTGTATAGTTTGCAAAATTCCTCTTGTTATTGATTTGTAGTTTTACTCCATTGTGGTCAGAGAAGATCCTTGATGTTATTTCAATTTTTTGAATATTTTAAGACTTGTTTTGTGACCTAACATATGATCTATTCTTGAGAATGATCCATGTGCTGAAGAGAAAAATGTGTATTCTCCAGGTGTTGGATGAAATGTTCTGTAAACATCTACTAGGTCCATTTGTTCTATAGTACAGATTAAGTTTGATGATTTTTTTGTTGTTGATTTTCTGTCTGGGTGATCGATCCAATGCTGAAAATAGGGTGTTGAAATCTCTAGCCATTACTGTGCTTGGGTCTATCTCTGTCTTTAGCTCTAATAATATTTGCTTTATTATCTGGGTCCTCCAGTGTTGGGTGCATATATATTTGTAATCATTATATCCTCGTGCTGAATTGACCGCCTTTATCATTACATAATGACCTTCTTCGTGTCTTCTTATTTTTTGTTTTGAAATCTATTTTTTTCTGATAGAAGTACAGCTACTCCTGCTCCTTTTTTGCTTTCCATTGGTGTGGAATAACTTTTTCCATCC